TCTGTCCTCACCGTGGCTGTCTGTCCCTCATAGAGCTGTTGGAGTAGTGCAACGTATCCAGGTTGGACCCCTTGTGCCTTCAGTGCTGCCCATATGCTCTTGTGCTCAACCGAATCGAAAGCTTTTTTGAAGTCAAGTGCTGCGACCCACAGGTTTTGGCCTCATTCGTTTGCTCGCTCGCGCAATAAGTGGACGGTAAAGAGGTGGTATGGTCGGCAGTCTGGTGTGAGTCAAGCGTCGGTTGTAGCCTGTTGTGCAGTAGTTGGCTGAAGAGCCTGTACAACAATGATATCGTGCAAACGGGGCGGTAGTTATGTGGAAGCGCGAGATCTCCACTTTTTGGTATGACTGTAATGACTGTGCTCTTCCAGCTGGCCAGCGGCGGGGCTTCGCGCTGCAGGATCGTGTTGTAGAGTTCGAGAAGTGCACCTCTGAGTTCTTCTGTGCCTTCTTTAAGCATCTCTGCGCGGAGGCTTTTCGTGTCTGGGGCTTTACCAAGCCGGAGACCTTTGATCGCCTTGTTTAGCTCTTTCGGTGTGAAGGGTGGGAGTCGGTGGGTCTGCTGGTCGCTGGTCGGTCGTAGGTCAGCCGGTCTGTTGTCTGGCGGTCGGGGGTCGGTCTGCTGGTCTGCTGGTCGGTCGGTCGGTCTGGCGCGCGGTTTGCTGCTTTGCCGGTTTGCTGGTCGGTCTGTTGGTCGGCGGTCGGTGGGGTCGTCGTTTGGTCGTTGTGGGAGTCGGTGGGTCTGCTGGTCGGTCGGAAGTAGTCGGTCTGCTGGTCTGATAGTCGGCGGTCGGTGGTCGGTCTGCTGGTCTGCTGGTATGTCGGCAGGTGCGGCGTTCGGCCTGTTGGTTAGCCGGTCTGCTGGTCGGTCTGCTGGTCGGTCTGCTGGTCGGTGGTCGGTGGGGTCGTCGTTTGGTCGTTGTGGGAATCGGTGGGTCTGCTGGTCGGTCGGTGGTAGTCGGTCTGCTGGTCTGCTAGTCGGCGGTCGTTGGTCGGTCTGCTGGTCTGCTGGTGGTCGGCTGGTGCGGCGTTCGGCCTGTTGGTTAGCCGGTCTGCTGGTCGGTCTGCTGGTCGGTCTGCTGGTTGGTGGTCGGTGGGGTCGTCGTTTGGTCGTTGTGGGAGTCGGTGGGTCTGCTGGTCGATCGGTGGTAGTCGGTCTGCTGGTCTGTTAGTCGGCGGTCGGTGGTCGGTCTGCTGGGCTACTGGTTGATCGGCTGGTGCGGCATTCGGCCTGTCAGGTTGCGGGTCTGCTGGTCGGTCTGCTTGTTGGTCTGCTGGTCGGCGGTCGGTGCGGTCGTCGTTTGGTCGTTCTGGCTGAGGACCAGGAGGAGGAGGAGGAGGAGGAGGAGGAGGAGGAGTAGGAGGAGGAGGACGAGGACGAGGAGGAGGGAAGAGGAGGACGTGGGAGGAGGAGGAGGAGGAGGAGGGGGTGGATGATGATATGATGATATGATGATGCTGATGCTGATGCTGATGCTGATGCTGATGCTGATGCTGATGATGATGATGATGATGATGGTGATGGTGATTGTGATGGTGATGATGATGGTGATGGTGATGGTGATGGTGGTGGTGGTGGTGATGGTGATGGTGATGATGGTGGTGATGCTGATGCTGATGCTGATGCTGATGCTGATGCTGATGCTGACGATGATGATGATGATGATGATGATGATGATGATGATGATGATGATGATGATGATGATGATGATGATGATGCTAATGCTGATGCTGATGCTGCTGCTGCTGCTGATGCTGATGCTGATGCTGATGATGATGATGATGATGATGATGATGATGATGATGATGATGCTGATGATGATGAGGAGGAGGAGGAGGAGGAGGACGACGACGACGACGACGTGGGAGGAGGACAAGGAGGGGCGACCAGTGCAAACCCAAGACTCATCAACGACGTTTGAATAGACCCTTCCTCCAAGCTCCCTCTTCATTGGCCCCTACAAGGATCATTTTCACTGAGGGAACAGCCTCGTTGGGAGACAACCGTTGAAGACCCCGAAGCATGCCAAAGCACCATGCTCGGAACTCCAACGCCACGAATCACCATCGCTGTTGCGGCTGGACGATCCAGAATCGTGCCAGAACGGCAGTCCTGGGACTTCAAAGCAGCGAATGTACGTAATTGTTGCGCCCGCACAATCCTGAGTCTGTCCATAACACCATTTCTAGTACGTTGACCATGGGAACCCGTGAAACCCATGCAAATGTTTAAGACGAGTGTGCGCGGCGCTAAGGCTATAGCCACATTTTGAAAATGAACCGCCCTCAATCCGTGCAGCTCTTGCAAACTTTGTAAGACGAATGTGCGCGGCGCTAAGGCGAGAGCCACATTTTGAAAACGGGTCGCCCACAATCCTTGAAGTTCTTGCAAAGTGTCTAAACGAATGCGTGCGGTGCTAAGGCGAGAACCACAAGTTGAAAACCTTGCGCCCTCAATCCGTGAAGCTGTTGCCAATGTTTAGAAAGAGTGTGCGTGGCGCTAATGCGAGAACCTCATGTTGAAAACCACCCGCCCTCAATCCGTGAAGCTCTCATCAAATGTGTAAACGAGTGTGCGCGGCGCTAAGGCGATAATCACATTTTGAAAACGGGTCGCCCTCAATCCGTGAAACTCTTGCATTTTTAAACCAAAGTGCGCGGCTCTAGCGCGAGAGCCACATTTTGGAAACGACCCACCCTCCACCTGTGAAGTTGTTCCCAATGTTTTAGCTTCAGGGTCATAGATGGGGAGGATGTGTCATGCGAAACGCGCGTCCCGCCCTTTCGACCGGCCTCGGGGTGCGACAATTGGAGGGTGAAAGAGGGGGTCTGCAACAGGGGGTCTTCAATGGGGGCTGAATGGCCCATGTATGCTCAATGTATCGCTCATGTATGTGATCGGGTACGATTGGCATCCAATGCTGGCGGTCATTGATGGCCAGTCATTCGTGCCCGCGCGTTGCCCGCGCGGGCACACGCGCCGTCCATCCATTATCGTTCATGCGTGCGGGCGTTCTTGCATATTGCGCGTGGGTCGGCGAAGTGGAGTGCAAGTGTGTCTTGATTGTGCGGTTGATGATCGCGTATGTTCCCAAACGATGACTTCTCGACCCCCAAGACAGATTTGGAATGGGCCCCGCGATTCTCCCAAAATGTGAATTCACATTTTCCTTTTTCCCAAAATGTGAATTCACATTTTCCTTTTTCCCAAAATGTGAATTCACATTCTGGCCCCTTCATAAAGAATCCTACACAAAATTCCAAAATGTGAATTCACATTTTCCCTTTTCCCAAAATATGAATTCACAGTTTCCTTTTTCCTAACATGTGAATTCACATTTTGCTTTTCCCCACAATGTGAATTCACATTTTGCCCTGGCCTTCAAGATCCCCAATACTGAGGCGCAGTGTTCCGCATGCCAGATTGGCTGGGCAGATTTCGACACTCACCTGGCCGCTTTCGTGTGTTCTAGCCTGTTCTTGTTGCGCCCTTAGCGCACGTTGCCTTCGTCGCCTTTCCCGAGCCCCCCGCCCCCTTGCTTCTTTTCCCCTCGAGTCTCGCGCGCGGGCGCAGGCGGGGGGCTTCAATTAGTTCCCCCGCCGAACACAGCAATCGAGGATGTATCGCCCATTCACGACTTTAAAAAACATCATTGCCGGGACCCTGCGCCCGACCCCCACTTTCACCCTCCAAGACAAGGAGGAGTTTTTTTATAAGGAAAAGCAATGGAGGAGGAGGAGGAGGAGGAGGAGGAGGAGGAGGAGGAGGAGGAGGAGGAGGAGGAGGAGGAGGAGGAGGAGGAGGAGGAGGAGGAGGAGGAGGAGGTAGATGAGGAGGAGGAGGAGGAGGAGGACCAGTGTAAACCCAAGAGTCATCAACGATGTTGGAATACACCCTCCCTCCAAACTCCCTCTTCATGCCCCTACAAGGGTTCATTTCCACTGAGGGAACTGCCTCGTTGGAATTGAAGACCCTGAAGCATGCCAAAACTTCGTTCTCGGGATTACATCGCCACGGATCAACTTTATTGCTGCGTCTTGACAATCCTTTAATATTGCCAGAACGCGATTCCTGGGACGTCAACAACGCGAACCAACGTAATTGTTGCACCCTCATAGTCCCGAACCCTCCCAAAACAAAATTTCTGGTAAGCTGCATGGAATCCCTAAAACCTCTCTGCGTTTAGTTTGAACGAGTGCGCGGCGCTAAGGCTAGGGACACACTTTGAACATAAAGCGCCCTCATCCCGTGAAATTCTTGCACATGTTGAAGGCGAGTGTGCGTGGCGCTAAGGCGAGAACCACATCTTGAAAACGGGCCGCCCTCAATCTGTGCAGCTCTTACACATGTTTAAAACGAATGTGCGCGGCGCTAGCGCGAGAGCCACACTTGGAAAACGGGTCGCCCTCAATCCGTGAAGCTCCTGGCAAGTTGTTTAAACGAGTGTGCGCGGCGCTACGGCGAGAGCCACATGTTGAAAACGGCCCGCCCTCCATCGGCGAAGCTGTTGCCAAGTTTTAAGCTTCAGAATCATGAATGGTGAGGAAGTCTCAGGCGAAACGCCCCGCCCGCCATAAAAACTGGCCTCGGGGTGCGATAGGGAGAAGTTGTCTACAAGGAAAGCAAATGGAGGAGGAGGAGAATAAGGAGAAGGAGGGAGGAGGAGGAGGAGGAGGAGGAGGAGGAGGAGGAGGAGGAGGAGGAAGGCGAAGATAATATTTTGAGGCTGGCATGCAGGATGGGCTTCAGGGCGAGCCAGAGGGCTATGAGAGGTTTTACGAGGACCCAGGGGATAGGGGAGGAGGAGGAGTAGGAAGAGGAGGAGGAAAAGGAGGAAAAGGAGGAGGAGGAGCGACGGAACGACGACGACTACGAGGAGGATGGATGAGGAGTGAGGGAGGAGGGAGGAGGGAGGGAGCATGGGAAGGATGGAAGGAAAGGAGGAAGCAGGGGGACGAGGGCCAGGGGGGAGGAGGGAGGGAGCAGGGAGGCCTCGCAGGAGCCGCAGCCGCAGGCGGCGGGACCGCAGCCGCAGCCGGCGGCGGCGCAGCGAGTCGAAGAACAAGGATCGCGGCGCGGGGGGCAAGCCCAGGGGATCAAACACCTGTTTTCCTTCCTCCTTGTCCTCCTCCTCCTCCTTCCTCCTCACCTCCTCCTCCTCCTCCTCCTCCTCCTCCCTGACCTCCTTCCTCCTCCTCCCTCCTCCTCTCCTCCTCCTCCCCTCCTCCCTCTCCTCTCCTCCTCCCTCTCCCTCTCCCTCTCCCTCCTCCCTCCCCTCCTCCTCCTCCTCCTCCTCCTCCTCCTCCTCCTCCTCCTCCAGGGTGGTGAGCTTGCGCTTGCAGGGGGCGGGCCCCTTCGGCGCAGGCGCGCCCACCCAAGGCTCCTTCCGATTCTCCTCACTCGCTTCCGATTCCGATTCGTCGATTCCGATTCCGATTTCGATTGCCGATCCGACAGATCGATTCGTTTCTGGGCTCTCGATCCGACTTTTCCGATTCGACTTCGTCGATTCCGATTCCGATTTCGATTGCCGATCCGACAGATCGATTCGTTTCTGGGCTCTCGATCCGACTTTTCCGATTCGACTTCGTCGATTCCGATTCCGATTTCGATTGCCGATTCGACTTCGTCGATTCCGATTCCGATTTCGATTGCCGATCCGACGTATCGATTCGACTCTGGGCCCTCCTGCCCACCTGGCCCGATGTGGCGGACGTGGCTTGCAGTGTTGCGCCACCCTTTTCGGAGCTGCTGCGCGCCCTTTCTTCACCGGCCTCCTTCCGTCACCCGCTGCGCCCTGCCTCGCTCCGCCCTCGGGTGCTCGGGCGCCTGCCCGCGTGAGCAGGGGCGTTCTGCTCCGCCCTTGCGCATCCTCCCTCCTCCTTTCCCTTTCGTGTTCCCATTCGGGTGCGGAAGCAATGAAGCAACACTCACGCGTAACGGATGGTTGGAACTCCCCCCCTCCCGAATGCAGTGTTGGTTTCGGATCTTCCGAGTTCGAGTGTCCGAGCGGTGATGCGCAACCGTGCCAAATTTGAATTGCGGGGGAGGGGGGAAGTGTTGCTTATTAGTTTCCCTCAACCGTTCCTCCCCCATCCTCCTCTTCCTTCACCCCTTTCCCCATCGTCCCCCTCCCCACCGCGCCTCTCTCCTCCCTGCCCCCTCCCACCCACCCACCCACCCACCTCCCTATCCCTCTCCTCTCGGGGTTCGGGCGACCAGGGGGGGAGAGGGAAAGGGGCGCATGATACGACGCCTGCTGCATGCAGCGGATTTCGGCCCCGCCACCAGGCCGCGACGGAGGGCGCCGGGGGAACCAGCGGCGCGAGCTGACTCGCGGATGCCCTCTTTATTACCCCTACCCCCTTTCGTCCGACCCGACTCCTTCTTACGGGGCCCAAACAGATACACCATCACCACCTCTCTCGCCCCCTTCCCCTCCTTCCTCCCCCAGGAAAGAGGAGAGAGGAAGGGGAGGGCCGAGGAGAGAGAAGGAATGGAGGTGGTGGTGGTGGTGAGTATTCTTTGGGCCCGCCCCTGAGGTCCGACGTTTCACAAAGAATGCAGCATCGCGAAACATCGTGACTGGAGCCGTGGAGTACGACATCCTTCGAGCCGGTGCTGTCCCCTTCTCTACTTTCCATCATTCTCCCTGACTCCAGATCTGCCGCACTCTGGTTGATTTTCCGACTTCAATTGTGCCAGAAATGCACCCCAAACGATGCGCGAAAAAGTAAGGCGGATATGGCCGCCTCGGACAACTAGGGCGGATATCCCCGCAAGGGTTTGGTGAAAACAGCGACGGCGAAGCAGGCCAGAAGTCGGCATGAAAGGGACCTGACAGGTATCGTTGAAGGAACAATTATGCAACAAACGTGGAGGAGCCATTTCGCATGATCCTCCTTCCGCCGCCCGGCCTGAATATTGAACTAGTGTTCCTAGGAAAGCGGTGCCGAGCAAATCTCGAAACCAACGTCTCGAACACAATATTGGCCAATGATCAGGCCGTGGGGGGGGGAGGGGGGAATCTGGCTCTTTCTAATTCGGGCGCTGTTGCTGCAAAGTGTTTTCCTTCAGGCATAGGGCGGGAATTCCCACCCTACTTGCGGAGTCGCTCAGAAAGTATGGCGGCTCTGGCGTCAGGACCCCTTGAGCCCAGCCCCCACTAACGTTGGCCCTTGGTCTTCTGGTCATACCTCGGCTATCCAGCGGCCGTTCGGGACAATCTGGCCACCCCCGGACGCCTCTCGGCGAGGCGCCGCCGCTGGAGCGCATCCCGAGGGTGAACAAAAACTCCTCTTTTTGTTCTCGAGCCAAAGCAATCCTCGCGGCCATGCTTGGTGTGATGCGGTCTGACCGCAACGAAAACTGCCAGGACACGAGGGCCAGTCGGCGAGGGACCGACGAAAGCGCCCGAGCGCGTCCGACCTCGGACGCGGCGGGTCCAGAGGCGGGGTCCCCCCTGACTCGGGGTCCGCTGTGCTCTGGCTGACTTTCCGACTTGAAAAGAATACCGTTATGTCGGGCGTGTCCCCCCACAGGGGGATTTTCGACGAAAAATAGAAAATACCCCAAACATACCCCAAAAAGGTCAAAAATATTCCAAAAATAGTCCCCAACCAATTTTTGGACTATTTTCTGACTATTTTGGGGGTGTTTTTTTTTATTTTTCGTCGAAAATCCCCCTGTAGGGGGACAGGCCCGACTTAAAAGTAGCGCCGCGTGCCTCCGCAGAGGTAAGGAGCGGATCTCTCCGCCAAGGCGCGGCGGAGACAGCGACAGCAAAGTGGGGCGGAGTTCGGCATCAGGGCGGAGCCGAAGTCGGGCCCCCCCCCGTCCTACTTGAGTCCTTCTCTTGAATCCTTCTCGGGGCAAGGGGCCCCCCCCCCGTCCTACTTGAAGCCGGAGTGAAGCCCCCCCCCCCGCCCGTCCTATTTGAGTCCTTCTCTTGGCAAGGGCCTCGGAGGGCTTCCTGCGATTGGGGTGCTGTGCAGAACTGTACTGCAAGGCGTCGAGGCACCAAGTTGCATCAAAGCTTGACTGCCCCATGTTTCCGATACGTACCCCTCGGTCGTTGAAAGTAGGTATTTCTGGATTCCCAGATTCCAGTCTCTTTTAGGCGCCTTCCCACTTCAATGATCGAGCGGCTTTCCCTTCTCCGTCCTCCTCAGTGGGCGGGCGGAATCCGATCTACTTTCGACGCCCTCCCGCCTCGTGCTTCTGCCTGCTTCTCTTCCGACCGTTGGGCATGGCCGGTTTGGCGGAAGTGGGCTGCAAGGCAGCTCTGGAGTCGGGGCTCTCCCCCATCTCGGCATCGCTCGGACGTGTGCATGTTTCCTTCGGCGAGGACCATCGAGGAGCATCCTGGATCACTTGGCGACAAAGCCACGCACGAAACCGAACAAAGCACAGGGAATGGGCGTCCGAGCGACGGCCAGCCCTCGCTCCTGCCTCCGGCTGCGCCTCCCGCGCGGGGCCGCCGAGGAGGGCGCGGCGGGCGGCGGCGGCGCGGCGCCCGGAGGCGCGGCGCCCTGCGGCCGCGCGTTGGGGGGGGGGCGGGCGCCTTGGAAGGGGCCCTGGGACGCACAAGTAAATACACACAAGTGAAACTATTCCCCATATTTGTCCATACCGTCTGGGTCTCTGTCTTCCCCCCCACTTCCCATAATTTCGCATCTTTTCCTGGGAATCGACGATGAATTGTGTCTCTGTGTTTTGTTCCCCTCCTGAGCCTCCTGCGGCGAGCGGCGCGCGGCCGCCGCTCGTTGCAGCGGCAGGTGCGCCCCGCGCCGGCGCTGCGGTGAGCCCAACGCGGGCGTTCGTCGGGCGGGGCTCGGACGAGGATGAGTCCGTTCCAAGGCGTGCCGTAGCGCTTTCCTGGAGCGTTCCAGGACGCTCTTTTGAAGGCCGGGGGGCTCGAGGCATCCTCCAGTGTATCCTCACAGGAGGAAAAGAAATACACAGACACAATGAATCTTGGATTCCCCAGAGAATATGGGAAAATATGGGAAGTGGGCGGGAAGACAGAAACCCAGAAAATATAGGAAAATACTGGGAATATTTTTATTTGTGTGTATTTATTTGTGTGTCCTCGGGCCCCTTCATCCTCACCCGATTTTATCCTCGTCCTGTCTTCGTCTTACGGCGCATCGACAAAATGTTTCAGCACCTGGTGCGGACAAGAAAATCGCATCGTTGTTCTAGAAGGGCTTGTTTTCCCCACCCCCTCCTCTCCCCCCCGATCTCAATCTCGGGTCCAGTCCGGGCTGGTCGAAGCAGCTCGGTGGTGCAGCAGTTTGTCGGGAGCCCCCGGGGCGGCCCAGGGGCCCATCGCCGTGCACCCAATATCGAGAGCGTGGGGGAAGGGGGGAAAGACTGAAGGCGGATTCTCGACGAAAAATAGAAAATACCCCAAAAATGTTCAAACATAGTCAAAAAATAATCGAAACATCGTCCCCAGACGAGCGACGCGGTGTGGGTGCCAATGCACCGCAGCAGCGGCGCAGCGCCTCGTCGGCGTGCGGCGGCTCGGGGCCCGCCACGGGGGGCAGCGGGCCCCGAGGCCCTCCGCGGGCCCCGAGGCCCTCCGCGGGCCCAGGGGAGCGGCAGGGGACGACCTCGGGAGGAGGTCCAGGAGGGGACAAAACACTGTTTTTTGATCCGCGGGTCGAGAGCGAGCCTCTTCCGGTCGAAGAGAAGCGGGCCGCGCACAGCTTTAATTGATAGAGGGGGAAGGCTGAAGGAGGGGCCTCACGTCAAGGCCAGAGAGAGCAAAGCACCGGAATCAGGCGGTGCCGAAGGCGAAGTGCATGCAAAGGAAGGCTTTGCACAGGAACCCGGAGGCGAAGTACCGGAAAAGCAAAATGCTGTGATGGTGGTGCCGTCAGCGGTCCAGGAGGGGGCAAAAACACACAGAGACACAATGCATCGTCGATCCCCCAGAAGACATGGGAAAATCTAGGGAGTGGGGGGGGGGAAGACAAAGACCCCGAACATCCGGGAGAACGTGGGGGATCCTGTTTTTCGTGCCTATTCATTTGTGTGTCCCAGGGCCCCTTTTAGCGGAAGAGGTTCG